AAGCCTACATAATCTTATGAGGATATGCCCCAACTTTTTTTTCCCGCCCAAAGAAAACCACACGTGATTGCACAAGGATGTATTCGTCTTTTGCCCATATCAGTCAGCCCTTTTTACTTCACTTTTAGTCAACTTAGTCAGTTTTCCAATTTCCCTTCGCTTTATGGTTATCTAGCAAATTCTCTCTAAAAAGAATCCCGATTTTATACTACAATGTGGTGGTTTAAATGCTTTAAAATATAATTCAGAAAGGAAAATTGATTTTGAAAAAAAGTTTGTTTGTTTAATATCTAGAGAGACCTTTTCAGAAATCGTTTTGTTCTTGAGAAAAAAACAAAAAAAAAATCCTTTTCCATGAATAAATCTCAATTTCTTTTTTTTTTTTAAATAAGGGTGCAACTGGATTGTCATTTTATAGGATAAAATCAAGTGGAATACCTCGTTCCTGTGCATACCACGAAAAAGCTACCATTTACATGGAATAAAAAATAAAATTCATTCCATTGCATCCCATGACTTATGTGGGATTGTAGAGGAAAAGAGTCAAAAAACATTCAGGAAAAAAAAAACATCTATTAATACATATATAATTTAAAAAAAAAATTCTAGAAAGATTTTGTTACGATTTTATGCTGATCAGAAATGATCAAACCAGAGATTTCTCATTTTCTACTAACATTTGTTATGCTTTTAAAATATAAAGATCTCCTTTAGATTTTTTCATCATATTTTTCTTTTTTTAAAAACATCATTTTCTTTCTTCTTACAATTTTCGTTTTTATATAATATTATTTAATTTAATAATATTTATTTTACATTTCATTCTATCCCTTTAAAATAACACCATTCATCTTGTATAAATATTTGTCTGCGATTATTTATTCCATTCATCTTATTCATCTAAAATTCAGTTTTTTCAAAAATCGTTTTATTCTTTTAAAAACAGAAAACATCACAAATAAATGTCAATTTTTCGTAAAGATGTTTCTTTAGAACCTCGTGTGTTCGTTCCTTTAAATACTCAAAATACCATTTTTAATTGAGAAATTTGGCTAATTGGGTCGAAATCAAATAGGAAATGTCCCATTAGTATTTTTTCAACTCAATTTTGTCTCATTAGTATTTATTTTAATGATAATCCGGTTTTAACCTTCATATTTAGTTTTTATAAATATTTTTTGGTTTGATTAATGCTGAATTTGAYGACTG